TATGCCTAAAAGAAAATGAAAAAATCTGAAAAAAGAAAACAACAAAAAACCATCATTTACTCAGAAAATTGGACATGGATGCAGTTGTTACTTTAGTCTGTCATGGGCTTCCTTTCATAAAAAGGGGCCCATGCAGTAGAGGCCAAATAGAACAGGTTATATACACCGTCTGTAACAGTTGCCTATGAAAATGTCCTAATGCCCTGGAGTCTGGTGTGGACTAGAAATTAAAAAGCAGAGCCAGATAAACCGGCAACATGCCTGTAATCACATCATTAGGGCGGTATAAGGAAGAGCTCAAGAACTGTAAGCTAGCCCACGTTACAGTGTACCAAGGCAGAGTGGGTTCAAGTCTGTGCTGGTTTGAATATGCCTGGCCCTGGGGAGTGCCACTATTTGGAAGTCTGGATTTGTTGCAGTAGATGTGACCTTGTTGGAGGAAGTGTGTCGCTGTGGAGTTGGGCTCTGGGAGCTTCCTCCTAGCTGCCAGTCTTCTCCTGTCTGCCTTTGGATAAAGAATGTAGATGCTCAGCTCCTCCAGCCCCACTTCTGCCTGGATACTGCCATGCTCCTGCCTTGATGATAATGGACTGAACCTCTGAACCTGTAAGCCAGCCCCAATTAAATGTTGTCCTTGTCAGAGTTGCCTTGGTCATGGTGTCTGTTCACATCAGTAAAACCCTAAGACAAGGTTTTAGATCTTTATACCGTTGTGTTGTATTGTTCACATAATACTAACTTCTTAGGACTGTTGTAAGCATGGACTGGCTTAATCGGGCTAGTAATTTAGCGTGTACAATACAGGCTACAACATAGATGAAGCTTGGAGGGGCTATCTTAGTGAAAGAAGTCTTTTACATAAAATCTCTATGTTATGGCCCAGAGCCCATGTGGTCTGTTTGGTTGGTTGTTTTTAAGGTTAATTTTAATAGTTGGCCATGGTAGTGTACCCCTTTAATCCCAGCGCTAGGGAGGTAGAGGCAGGTGGATGTCTGTGAACCTGATGCCAGTCTAGTCTGTGAGTTCCAGAACAGCCAGGGCTATACAGATAAACCCCATCTCAAAGAACAAAATGAAACACTCCCCCCCAAAAAGACCTAGTTTTATGTGTATGGTGAAGTGAAAACTTCTAGGTTCTTTGGAAAGTTATATCAAATGATGTTTTGCTGGGGCCCACAGGTGAAAGGATGTCTTGCTAAAGCAGACACATGAAAGATTGTTTTCCTGAAGCAAACACAGGTGAAAGGATGTTTGGATATAGCAAACATGTGAAAGGACAATGATGAAGGAGTATAAATATGACCCCACAGACAGTGGGAGATGAGCACTGAGCATTGGTTTGGTAAGTTCCACCTAGCTTTTCTTCACTAATGACACAGATGTATTGGTCCATCTTATGTGGTGGTGTTGAGCTCAACTTGTGATAATGCTGCCATTGAGAGAAACTTGCCCAAGAACTGCTTGTGAGGAATCCTGCGGTTTCCTCAGGATTGAACTACAGCCTGGTATCTGTCTGCCTAGAGGACTGGTCTGCAGCTGCTGAGTCATATTTGGTGTTTGCTAAGGGACTGAACTGCTGCCAAGGAAGATTGAGTTTTCCCCAAAGAACTATTGCTGAGCAGATCCACTTCCCCCATATCCTAATAACTTTTCTCTTCCACTACCTCTGCTGGTGGACTAGAAGAGAGGTTAAACCCTTATTAAAAGTAGGTTGCAAAAAAATCTTTGCCTACAGTATAGTGTTTTGCCTGCATGTACATTTGCATCACATGCATGCAATAGATGGAAGCTAGTAATTGGATTCTCTGGAGCTCGAGTAACCAATACCTGTTAGCCACCACATGGGTTCTAGGATCTAAACTCATATCTTCTGCAGGAGAAGTGTAGGTTCTTGCTGTGACAGACCTGATCATGTTGTTTTGGAGAGAGGTGTGGAGAGATGTTGGAACTCTAAGCTAGAAAGGTCATCGAATGTTCAAAGCTTGGGGAACCGTTGTGAGAACCTAGAGGGCTGGGGGCTATGACA